TTGGTTTGGCCAACTCGGTTTCACGGGATTCTGCTATACGTGCGTGTGATTGGGTGGATCGCAATCACATGACTTACACCGGCCATGTTGTCACCTCTTGGTCACCTAAACAAAACATTGGCCAGCTACAAACTAACGCGATAGGATAGGAAGTTAGCAGTTATGATAGATGGTTAATGCTATATATGTGAAATACCGTTATGTTCGTTTTGTGGTTGCTGCAATCGATCCAACAAAGGAACAAAAATCTATCAATTTCCTTAAATTTAAAAAATGAGGAGGATTGGAAATTTTATTTAAAATTTGAATGGCGTTCCTTTCAACCTTGTATGTTTTGTAAAGTATACCCAAAACGATTCAATGAATCAGGAATATACTATTTCTGATTTTTTTAAATTATATTTTCATTTTTTAAATTTTATTTATTTATTTATATATAGACCTATATATATATATATTTTAGTTAAGACATCATTCTTCTGTGTAAAGACCTTCATACAACATTGCATTCTTCTCATTCATAAGATGTAAGGGTGTCTACAAAATGAAGACCGAAGACCTAAAAAATGAAGACCTCCACTAGAATAACATTAAATTGACTCAAATTCAGGCAATAATGTGCTAGAGAGATGATATTATATATACATAGCATGAAATGATTTTAAACATTATTTTCGTCACGATTAAGAGAAAAATGTGGACCTTTCTTCGTTTTTCGGGTCTTCTGTCTTCGTTTCGTAGACACTTGTGATTAAGGTGTGACTTTTGATAATCGATCCCCTCATCATATGTGCTCATTTATAAAACAAAATCCTTGTTTTAAATATGTTCATAATGACTAGTCTCTGTTTAAAAGTAACACTTCCAATTAACAAGGGACGAGCCCATTGTATTTTTTTTTTTTTTTTGCATATTTAAGCTAATTTTCATATAAACAGGATATGTGACCAGTGTGATTTCTGAAATGTTATCCCCTCATCCTATGTGTTCCTTTTATCAAAGGAAAACTCTTGTTTGCAATATGTTCAGATTGTCTAGTCTACTATTTAATTTAGCACTTCCCGTAAAAAAGGAGGTGTAGCCTATTTTGCATATTTAAGCTAATTTCCATATGAACGGGACTTGTGATTAAGGTGAGATTTCAGAAATTTGATCCCCTCATCATATGTGTTCTTTCATAAAAGAAAAACCTTTTTTTCCCAATATGTTCATAGTGTCTAGCCTACTGTTTAAAGTAGCATTTCCAATGAAAAAGGGGCGTGTCCATTTAAAAATGGGTGTGGTCATTTTCGGGCTGTTCGTCCCGGATAGAGATTTTAGCACACATCCCATGTTGTTCCTAGGGTTCATATTAGTCTATAATAGTTGAGATATTCTCTCCTAAATTAAGTGCATACAAATCTTAGTCAGATCCTCTACTAATTCTACTAAGTGCGTGGTTGGCTGGGTTATTTTGGTGGGGAAAGAGAAATTTTCCCTGCTGAATTGATTCTCGAACGAGATAACGAAAGTTCTCTATTGACTTAAGCTACTGCATGACCTATATTTAGGAAAATCAATTTCTTCTAATTTTAAATACATTTTCCCCTGAATTCGTTATCACGTATAGACTTGCGCTAAATGCGTGGCAAATTTATGATCACGCATGTGTTTTTGGAAAATGCGTATTTCATCCAAAATCACTTTGAAATGCGGGACCGTCCCGCGCACGATGCGAGACGGTTGGTAACTATACCATAATACAAGTGTTAATTCACAAGCCATTTGGATATCATCATCATGTTGGAATGCAGGATATAAGACTTCTTGGGTCTTTGTCTTAGCATCAATCAATAAACCACTAACTGTAACCACTAAACTATTGAAGAGTTTCTTCACCTTTATAACTGTTATTTTCACTGTTAAATCTAAGTAATGTATAACATGTGTAAATATAAATAAGATAGGAATATCAGAGCATATCCTAACACATATCTTAACACACCCATATGGGGTGTCTATAAAACGAAGACCCTTGAAAATACAAACCGACGTCCAAAAAATTTCGTAATTTTAATTTTGTGACTGCCTGGTTTATTATCATTAAAATAAAAGACAAAAAATAGGGGTCTTCGTTTTTGGGTTTTCGGTCTTCGTTTTATAGACACTCGGATTAAGATTGGAAAATCCATAGACTAAGTACAGTATTGCAGTAGGCCCCTACATAGTATAGGCATTGAATTGTTTTCATTTCTTTTTGTAATTACGGCCTTATTCCTACCGCTAAAATAAGACTAACTATTATGGCCTATGTATTATTTCACCCAGTCACCCCATAAATTGATAATATTCCAGAAATCCTAGTTTTGGAAAGAAAAACACACATGGACAACTTAAATTCGTTGTACCATGGAGGAATTAGTTGTACGGACTGTATTTTACTATGCTGTGTTATTACAATGCCCACACTTCGAGGAGCAAAATTAAGACAATCAATATACAGAAGCTTAAATTATGCATGACGTCAACGTTACGAAGCCACGCCTCCTCGGCTGAACCCGTTGTATTTAGCAACTACCAAAAATAACTTCATGAAAGTTTAGATACTGTACAGTAATCGGTAATTATAGAGGGCAGCAATCATGTTTTTATTTTTTATCATCGGTAGCGTACGTTTACTAGTTATTGAAAGATTCAATTGATTTTATATCGATGAATCAACTTAATTGACATTAAGTTAATTGTAATTGTCGAATTGTCGGTGTATCTTTGCTGTGAAGATTCAAAACCTTATATGTTTTAAAGAACCGTAAAACATCTGCATACTGTAATTAATTGAGAAGCCTTGATATCGGTAAATTGCAGTCTGCCGCCCTCTATTTATTTCCTTCTAGCACTTTCAGAGCTTATTTCGTATTTTATTTAAAACTTTCGTTGTTTAAAATAGCTTCTGGCTGTTTGCAAACGCTGTTGGCCTTTTTCGAGGTAGGATAGAGCCTCCATGAAAAAAATGATCAACTTCAAACACAACTTTAGCAATGGTCTCAACCTGTTCCTTTCAAGTTGGATGTAAAACGAGTTTTTCTGTGAGTTGACGCATTAGTTTTCGTGTAGCGTTTACACCCATGCGTCTGTGTGTGCATAAACAGGAAGTTCTCCAATATCATCACTCGTCGGCGAAAGATACACAGAAACATAAAAACAACTATTTAGTTGGATTAAATTACCGGTTTGATATAATTATCATTATCTGACTTATATTTCTTCGTCAGACAATCAATTGAAATCCTAAATCTGTCAAAAAATTGCTTTTGACCTGCCTAGGCCGAGTCGAATGTAGCGTAACACCGTTTCCGTCCCTCAGTCGCCGATCGCCGATCCTTCGCGAGTACATGCTAGGCCTAGGTAGGAGGCTAGTCCTACTGATCTAGCCGTTAGCTATTTAACATTTATACGATATTCACGGTCTAAATAGTGATTGCAGTAAATGGCCAAAATGGTGTAATATGTTTTTAAGTAGATATTGTGTGTCGGATGTCTGATAAACATATGCCACTCACTCAGCTCAGTTTGCAGTAATAAAACAAATATTATTAGCATTGTGAATAATCATGATGAGTGGTAGAAGGCAAAACTCCACTCCCAATTATCTTCAGATTGCAAAAATAGAAGACTCCACACAGAAAATAGTAGAGTTGGATGAAAAACTGGAACAAGTAAGTATTCAATCTTTGTGTAAACTAAGGTATTGTATTCATATATTGTTGATAATCAGCAAATCAAAATATTGATCTGGTTGAAATACAGTGTATTTTCTCGGCCCTATCACTTGTTTCACCTAATTCGAAATTCATGCTAAATGTTTTTTTAAGCGCTTTCCTTGATTAATCCATCTTTCTTTTAGGAACAAAAGGACTTGTCTTTTATTCGTGAAAACCTTGACAAGAGCAATCAACTCACTCGCAATATGGTAAGATAACAAACAAGTTTTAAAACTAGAAATTGCAAATTGCAAGTGAAGTGCTGCGAAGTACAAC